TTCAAGGATCAATATGTCTGCATACATTCACACGAGATTAATAAATAAAAGTACAATCTTCCAGCAACAGTTTTTTATATGTAAAATTTAAAAAAATATATATAATTTTCTCTCATAAATATATAATAGATAATTTAATTATCTAGATAATTTCTTCGAATTATAATCCACCACATTTTTTTCTCTAAATTCTAATCTTCATTGTCAGCAAAACTACAGGCAATAAAATGGCTCGTATTGGTTGACGGCTTTTATAACGAAATCGATAAGTCGGGTGTTACCGCCTGATCGGCGATCTCGGTAAAAAAAATCGAATGCATAAAAATCTAACTACAATCGGCCGTTATCAGGCTCTCGCACGTTAGCTCTCCGGACGGCTGATTTTAATCCGTTAAATGCCATTTCCTTGTACACGTCAGCTGCGAATCGATGAGCTTCGGAGGCATCGAATGTCCGGCGCTTCGCCCGCCATTTACCGCCGGGAGCTAGAGCTCGCGAGTTCTCGAGTGCTCTCTTACGCCATTCCGTGCCGATTGCCTCGAATTCACGTTCATGTGAGCTTATATGCAGTACGTTACTCGTGTCTGGACTAAAGCGAAGCGAAGTCCAAACGCCGTAAATGTATTCAAGTGAATACAAGTGGCAAAGATGAAGGAAAAAATTGGAATTACAAAAATCTAGTTCGATCAATTAAAAATGTTCGTATCACTGCACCAAATTGTGAAAAAGTTGAAAATCTATTAGTATGATCATGGCAAGATCATAGTGTTAGACCGAATATGCACTACATTAAATTTTCTGTAATTTATAGTTTGAGATTTGCCCATTACGTGCTCTTCCATCTTATGGTTCTCATCCATGTATGGATATAAAAAAAGTTCTAATTAAAATTTTACTCATAAAACATATGTTTGCAAATAAATCTGTAGTGCATGTGTTTTAGTCTTCAATGAATTGCGAAATTGCGAGAAAAGAAACAAAACTACATTCATTCGTTCGTAATTCATATCTCATATCCCACAGTTATCGGCAAGTATCTCATAGCACTCGTTACATACACGTCAGATGACAATCCTCAGACAGAATACAACGGTATATTTCGTGGTTTATCTGCTAGGTTGGAAAAGCTCCGAAGGTCGTTCATTTCGTTTGCGTAGGCTGTTCATCGCTATCCACGATATCGCGACGCACTGGTAGAAAGAGAGAAAGAGAAAAGAAAAGTCAGATACAAACGAAAGGGAAAAAGAGATATATTCGAGAGCGAATGCGACCGAATATATGTCCTGGTTCTCCCTCCGCGAAGCTCGTAAATCCTACCGTTGCGGCACGTTCGTAAACTCGTTTCGTCGTGGTTGTGGCGTGACGCTGCGCCCCGTTATAATTAACATAGGATGATGCGCGGTATAAATTACAATTATACATGATTTACAGAATGCGATAGTCGCGGGCTGGCCCATGGTCTCCCTTTGCCATCCCATCTTCTCCTCTCTTCGTTCACCACACCCAATGCGCTTTTAAAGCCCCTCCAACTCCCCCGATTAGTATCGTCGTCTATTTCCGCACATCCTGGATGACCCTCTTCACACCGTACTACTGAATAAATATCTGTAGTAAACCGCGACGCGTTGCGTGCGCCGTCCGCTGTCGTATTAAAGGCGACGTTAAGAGTTCTGCTTGTAACATGTCTGTATTCTCACGTTGCGTCAACGCGCCGCACCTGACTGGTGCACTGGCAATGCTTTCGCGCATCCTGCATTTCAAACCCATCATCTGTGAAGCGTCTCGACTGCGCGACGAAATTCGTGCATCGCGAGATTTTAATGTGTTCATGACCACCAGTATTCGCGTATATGATTTTTTTTTCTAAATACCAGCGTAGCGTATATAATTCGTGTTTTATCTTATATCTCGAGAGCGAGAATCCTCGAACGCATCAGAGATAGAAAAATGAATACGAGAGAACAGCATCCTGGATTCGAGAGCTTAATCAGCGTTTCTCTAGAGATGAGTTCTTTCCTAAGTTTTACTTAAAAATTTAAAAAGATCTTTTTTTTCTTTTCTAAACGAACCGACACGACAAAAATTGAAGCGAATGCACGAAAGCTTTTCCAATTTTGCGGAGAACTCCTAACGATCTATCCTATAATGCAAATTCGTAACTAGATCCAGATAGCCGAGTAAAGCTGAACCTAAGACACGTCGTCGGTTTCACAGCGTCGGTGTTTGCGTGTCTGTAAATGTATGTGCCAGGCCGTACCGAGGTCGAGTCACGTGCTAGTCAACGACAGTGGGAGTCCTCTTAATTATGCTACCAGTTCTGCACGAGACACAATGTGGGAGTTATGGTTAATAATTTCAGCTTTGTTGAAACGTACGCCAAACTTTCAAAAGAATTCAGGCAGTACCAGGAATGCCTTCAGGTCATATTGTTATCACGCTAAGTGTAAGTAATTGCTGATGCGTATATAATTTCACTCCATACTACATACCTCATTGTCTCTAATTATTCTCACTAAAAACTATTAAAAATCTTATTATAAATAAAGTTTATTGCATATAAATCCAATTTATCGATATTATTGATATACGCATGTGTATATGTGTGTTACAAAAGTTTCATATTTATATATTAATTTTATGGCATATCTTCAATTATCTATTCAATTACTCGAACAAAGATTTAAAGAATTCATCTTAATCTAAAAATCAAAATAATATTTTCTGCCAACTTTTATTTTCCATAAAACAAGATAGTCGACGTAAAGAGTTTAATTTAAAAACAGAGTGTATTTTAGATATTAGTACATATTATCGGGGATCGTTTTATATCTGAGTGAAAAAAATGTCTATTTGCCGGGCGTCTACCGATCGTTTTCGTCGATTTGCAATAGTCACGCACAGCGGCGGTGCCATCGCGGACGATATCAATGTTTTTATTATGACAGCTGGTAACCCGACCGGTAAACTCCGAAAACAGACGTGCCATTACGCGTTTAAAGCAATTTCCGGAAATCCCTCGTGACATTCGACAAATGGACTGAAGTCATAAATAGTTCCACAGTTCTGCTGAAGCACGAGTGCCATGCCATTTCGTTTCTCTCTCTCTCTTTCTCTCTCT